AATATAAATAAATAAATTTATAAAAAAAAATTATCAATAATTAAAATATTTTTTATAAAATTATCTTTTTACTATAAATTTATAAATTTAGGATCTGTGTATGAGTGTACATTAATATACATAATAAAAAATTATTCCAAATTTATCTTATATTTCTTTTAAAACTTAAATTTTAATAATATTGAGTAAATTATATTTAAAAAATTATTTTTAAAAATTAAGTTTATTGGTCTAATTAATATTAATAATTTAAATAAGCTAACAGGTCAGGCCAAACTTTCAAAATGGTCAGACCAAACCTATAAAAAACTTATAATAAATAATAAGTCAAGCTTAAACTTTAATTTTACAAAATAGGTCTAGTCTATTCAAATTTTGTCCTATTCACATCCCTAATTAGGCCTAATAGACTTTTTTATTTTTAATTTTTTTTATTAAGTCTAAGTCTAGATTTTTTTTATTTATAAATAGACTTTTTAAAAAAATTATACTTAACCTTTTTATTAACATATATTTTAAGAGAATAACACACCTTTTAATAGCTTAGAATATTTACAAAGCACTTTTATGTTATATGTCAATTTTGTATACATATACTCTATATTTGCATAAAAAATATATCTATAAATAAGTATAATTTTCTATTCTAATATGAAAGCTGAACTGAACCGTGTGATTTTAAAATTTTTAAAATCTAAACCGAACTACAAATTTATAATTTTCCACGGATATTTTCAATTTTTTTTACTTTTCTTTCTTTGGAGTTGTTTTAATTTTATACACCCCTACTCCCTTATTTACAAGTAGCAAAGGACAAAAAAAAATTATGTGGGACTCGCAGAAACTCTTTCTCATTAAGAGATATCTTAATTATTTTTGAAAGCGACAGCATGTCACTTCAAGAACAAGGGAACCAAGGCTACTGACTTGAGTATAAATATAGAGTCCTCATAGACGGTTTCATAACAAAGCAAAACGAGTGTATAAGAAATCAAAATTTTGTGTAAAAGTAGTTTATTTTCAGTGTCTTGATCGATCATGCCTGGAGGAAGTAGGGACCCTCTGGTTGTAGCGCGTGTAATCGGGGATGTTTTGGACCCTTTTGAATGTTCTATTCCTATGAGGGTCACGTACGGTAATAAAGATGTCAGCAATGGATGTGAATTCAAACCCTCACAAGTTGGCAACCAACCAAGAATAAATATCGGTGGAGATGACCTCAGGAACTTCTACACTTTGGTAATCAGTTAATTTTGTCCAATTTCTCTTTCTGGTTATCATGATTATAATTGGTTTTGAGTTTATTATATGTTGTTATTTCTCACATTTTTCAAAAATATAAAATATTGTTTTTAAATTGTGTTTGGCATAGTAATAAAAGAGAACTAATAAACTATTTCGACGGCCCCACAAGTTAGTTAAACGTAAATAAATTTATTTAATATATAAATTTATTTGAATACTTTGTAATATAATTTCAAAAGTTACTTAAAGTGACCTATATGTATTTTTTATTTTTATCCTTATTAATATATATAATTTTGTCTAAAATAACTAAATATGTCATTTTAAGTCATTTATCAACTAATTTATTAGTTAATCTTATCAAACACTTTTAATTTAATCTGTTAATTTATAAGCTTTAATTTTTTCAGTTTTTAATCTATAGTTTATAATTTTCAACCACCTTACAAGCTTTCTGTTAGTTTATGATAATTGCATGTAAACTAATTTTTATGTATATCATCTCTAGCTAGAAGAACCCAATTGTCACATTATGTACGATATTAGCATATGTGATACTTAAATTTTTTTATAAATGTCTAAATTAAATGTTATCTTAAATGTTCATTTAAGAACTAAAATTAATGATTTTATATTATGGGGATGAAAAATAAAAGAATCTTTTACAGAGATTGAAACTAAAATCTATTCTTCTTGCAAGACTAAAAATAATTATTGCATATTTAAAAAAGTAAAAGTTAAAAAATTATAAAAACTAAAATCATTATTCATTAAATTTATAAGAATTTAAAATGTAATTCAATAAAATTACAAGATATACATATGTAAGAGGTTAATACAATATTAATTACGGGTCTCGTTGCAATTGTGGATTATAAGATGTTACAATATAGTATTTTCTACCTTAATCCAACTGAGGTTTCATTACACAGATCGCTGTTGATCCTGATGCACCTAGCCCAAGTGACCCCTATTTGAGAGAATACCTCCATTGGTGAGTCAAAAATTGTGGTATTCAATTCGAAAATGCCATGAATGTATACGTTATACATGCATGAACTTCTGTTTGGGGGATTATACACATATAAATGAAGTGAACTATACATTAATTATGAGTTTTTCTAGTTTATTATTCGAATATTATACCACTCCATCTCAATGTATCTCAGGTTGGTGACTGATATTCCAGCAACAACGGGGCCTAGTTTCGGTATGTATATGATTCTCGCCCATTCTTTAAAACCTAACTTTTTGTGCTGAAATTAACCTAATCAAACCCTTTTTTATCTTAAAATTAACGAGTCTTGTCGTATGTTAGTAACAAAATTAGTTCACATATTCTGTTTACGTGGAAAAGAAAAACTATTAATTTTGGCCTGGTCTGAATAAGCAAATATCTAGAGTCAAGACTCAAGGTGCTTAATATTTTTTCTTATGTGTATTAGTGATTTATTTGTGATTTCATTAAACTGGTGATTGTTACACAAGTAATAATTAAAGTGATAGAAACTCAAATTTTCAAAATCATTATTAATTATTATTTTAACTGATGAAGTTCTTAGAATTTCACTGAACACTGAATTCGTGAACTCCTAAGTTTTGTAATAATTGATTCAGAAAAAAGTTTGGTAATAATAGCAAGTGGTTATATGATAGGAATCTATAACATCATTGATAATTATTTTTCTTATAAATACTGGACGGAAATTAAACTAAGGATATTCTACAAGGTTCCAACAACTTTTTTCTTACTCAAAAGTTTATCTTTTGTCGTTTCAAGCAGTACGTCTCCTTTCTCACATGAATAGTGTCCGAGTTTATCAGAATATATATGTTGTCCAAAATAGTACTAAATAACTTTTTATGTAATTAATATTTATACTTGGTAGCATTATTAAGTTTATTAATTATACTTGAGAGAAAATGTTTGATTAAAGGAAAGAAATAAATGATCTGGTTAAGAATTAAATTATGCACCGCAAAAAAATACCCAGTCATAATTATACATAAATAATTTTAATTTTTTTCATCCTGTTGTTTTATGTTTTCCCGTGAATTGAATTTGGATATAAAGTAGTTTTCTTTTACACCAAAGATATATAAAGTAGTTTTAATTCATATTAATGGCTAACAGTGTGACACACTAATATCATTTAACTTGATCATCACTTTGCATACATGAGGTATAAAAGCATAGAACTTTATGTAGATATTGGGGAATATGTCTGGAGTTTGAGACAAAATCCTTTGATTATTGGTCAGGCTTAGTTACTAATTAACAAAGACTCTCAACAACAATTTTGTTTTCTTTTCTTTTATAAAGAATCCAACTTTACAATCACACTCAATCTTTAAAATGAAGAACAGAATTGGTTCAAGCAATGTACGTAAAGGAGAGTGCACCACGAGAAAATAACATTATTCTTAGACTTATCCTAAAAGGCACTCAATTATGAAAATTAATTTTGATTTTGATGTATTAGTTTTAATCTTCCCAAATTTTAAATTTCTTGAAATCGTTCCGTCATTACTTTGTGATAATATATGATATGCATTTATATATGTCTCATCAACAACCATTCTAAAATAACATGTAATGTGAGGTATAGTTACATGCATACTACATTATCCATAAGATTTGGCACTAATCATTTAAAATTTTCAAATTTGAGGATAAAATGTGACTAAAGCAAAACTTGGTAGATAAGACTACATTAAACCATATTTACCAGAATTAAGAACGTATTTTTCCTGATAATTTTCAAAACAGGTAGTAGTTGGGGAATCAAAATTAGCCAAACACCTCACTTAGCTTTATAATTAAGAGTATAGATTGCCATCCAAATTCTTAATAACGATCTTGGAAATGTGAAAAATGATGAGAAGAAGATTCACTGCATTCAAAAAAGGAAGACACTAAGCAATGTTGTGACTAAAGGAGAATATTCCTATTGAATAGATTACCTTTTGTTGGCCATCTATCCAGAATCACAGCTATAGAGTTCAGAATTTCATAGAAAAAGCTTTATAACTTCTTGATGCAAAATTTAAATATTGTTTTAGCAAAAAAGTGATAACGTGGGTTGGGAGAATAAGAATCATTTTCTTAAACTCCATTTCCAAACATTTTATTCACCAAAAGTGAGCAACATATATAATTTAATAAATTCCGCATCTTAACAAACATATGTTCTTTCTAAGTGAAAAGGGACTTCCTCCATTTCACTTACACAACACCCCATCAACCTAATCATCAAATTCAGTAATTTTAAGACCCAATCTCATCTGAAATAAGAAACAATTGATCATTTAAACTTTTTTGAAAGACTCTGGAGATCTATCAATCTAGTGAACCCACACATTTACCGGAAAGAAAAAAAAAAACTGCTTCCATCAGGTACCTATCAGCATTTTAAAACCAGAGCTTACCAGAAAGAATTGAATGTTTCTTTTCCTTTGAATTGCTACCAAGATCTTTCCACTGAATTGAAATCACGCGTTCCTCTTTCCTCCTTTCCTATTTAATTTCCTTTCTTAGCTCTTCAATTAGAAAATGTCAGTTAATTAAAATTTACACCTCTCTTCCATTGTTGTATTATTTTCTAATTTGGAAGGGAAAGGGACACAAGATTAGATAGGCATTCAGTTCCTTTCTAAAACGTACAAGACATTTACTCCATAGTCAGGTTATTTAAGTCAGTTAGGACAGCCGAAGTAGGGCCAAATAAATATCTAAACATTATAATAATATCTTGTCTAAATCAAAATAAATGATTGGACATTCGGTAATATACAATATTAATGAAATATACATTAAATTATATTACTTAAAGTAAAAGAAAACTTCAATTTTGATAAAAGAACAAAATCTACCACACCTTATAACTTGTTTACCTAAATTTTGTCCTTCTATACTGAAACGTATTTAGTGGATATATATAAATTCCATTGACTAACATGCATTGTCAGGTCATGAGGTTGTAACATATGAAAGTCCGCGACCTACGATGGGGATCCATCGTGTAGTCTTTGTGTTATTTCGGAAACTGGGCAGGGAGACAGTGTATGCACCTGGGTGGCGCCAGAATTTCAATACCAAAGAATTTGCTGAACTTTACAATCTTGGATTGCCAGTTGCTGCTGTCTATTTTAACATTCAGAGAGAATCTGGTTCTGGTGGAAGAAGGTTATATTAAAAAAAATACTTTATATTATAAAATCAAATAAAGAAGTAAGCTTCGTTGAGGGTTTTAGAAATATTAGCAATTCCCTACCAAATGGGTCCTATTCCTTTTCAACTTAACATATACAGAAATAAGTTACCAGCTCAGTTGGGGTTAGCAACAAGTTATCTACTTATATACATAAATGGAACGGAAGCATATAGGTTCATATTTTTTTCTGATATGTATAATAGATATATATGTGTGAATCAAAAACAATTTGAGCATAGCTCAAGCTAAGTGGCAGAATATTTATTCTTTTTGTTGTACAATCGTGTTTTAATATGACTAGGTTCAATGTGATATGTACTTGCACGTTGCAACATATTATGGTTATATTTTTACTTATCGGAGGGGGAAATAATTCTCTGCGAATCACAAACTATCAAGAACAACAAATAAACTTTGAATATATCAAATCGCTAATAATTAATGTGTAGAGTTTTTGTGGACTATCTTAGAAACGTAGCTTTCAAAGTATATAAGGTGGGTTCTAGTTGCGTTTGGATTGGTGTGGAGGTAGAAAATGGTTCTAGTTGCGTTCGGATTGGTGTGGTGGTAGAAAATGATGCTAAAATGATAAGGAACACTTTTACAAGTGGTCCAAATGAAATGAATGAACAAAATATAACCTCAAAATCATTGAGGGCAAGATACGAGAAAAATGAAGGTACGGATCCAATTCCTTAAGATATTGACCGGAATATATTTGCTTTGTCTCTTATGATTCAAGATCATCTTACAAACTATTAGCACATAAAATTACTTGAATGGGTTTCGAAGAAAGAAAAAGAGAATCAGTATAAAGCAAAGAGTATTTTCGGCTGACTTAGACGTCTATTTGGCTAGCAATGAGTAAAATTAATATTTAGCAGATAGAAAGTTCTGTTTGGGTTTTCATCTATCAACCGTGAAATTAGCCGAAACGATACGAAGAATTGACCAAGGGTTAGCCAAGGTCTCTCGGCTAGTAAAGCCTTAACAAAATGATTTTGAAATTATGCTAAATTCGATTAGCCAAGGTGTTAGAGATTATTTCATTAAAGTTGATAATATAACATTTCCGACGAATTTTGGTTGTTTAAGTGTGCATGTAACAGATAAAATCGGCTATATTCAACCAATGAAGATAAAATGCAATTGAATTGATTCGGTTCTTTCACTCTTATTAGTTAAGACTAAGGATTAAATATACTTTTTTTATAGTTTATATCTTTCTTTACAGACTTACGTTTATGATGGAGTAGACAATCTGTAATTCTATATTCTACTGGAATTCTCTTAAAAGTTTGTGATTGACTTTACATGAAATCATGTCTTGTTTTAATTTAAATTTTCAACTACTAATATGTACTAGGGCAAAAGTAAGATACCAAATTGATACTTTAGAATTAGTTATTGGGTGACTAATTTAAAATGTGATGTGGTAAAAAATTTTTGTAAATAATGTCATTATTTTTAAAATGTAACGTTGCCTAATAACCAATTTTAAAAGTACTTATTATTGAGAAATGAAAGACACTTGAAGGTGGAGTTAAATAGTATCAATAAAAAAAACTCAACATTTTTTTGAAATAGTGAACTAGTAGCATAAGCATTAAGGAACGCAGACGAAGCAAAAACAAAGAACATAATGTGGTTTTATACTTATTCATCTCAACTATCGAGATTACATCTAATTTTTAATCAACTTAATCAAGTTTCACTATCTCTTACAAAGATATAAATATTTTTTAACAAACTACTTATGATGACTTAATAGTTTTCTTTGACTTACTTCTTTAAACAAGTTACACAAGTATTATTTGAACAACAAAATCTATCCAAACTTCAATCACTAAGTATTCTTTAAACATCAAAGCCTCTTCAGGCTTCAAGCTAAAACACACAATTAAAGTTGAGTAAGGATAACAATTGTTTTTGTCTTTCTCATAAAATGTGATGCGACTTTTAAGTATAAGATTTATACAAAAAGAAAGAATAAATAAAATAGTTGAAGTTGTTCTATCTTCTTTTTGAATTCTTCAAGCTTCGCTATATTGGTGCATAATGAAGATGAACATTTCAAATCTTTGAGCTTTAATCGTAGGCTTGCTTTGTCTTTCTTCCTTGAAGAGTAACATGTTCATTGGTACATTAAATAAGTTTCATTAAAATGTGACTTATTATATCTGATCAAGAAAGTTACTTACCACCTTTTTGGTACAAAACGGGAGGAACTACTGTGTGTGTCAAATTGAAATGGCTTTTTAGATGACTTTGCACACTTTGAGATATTTTGATGGAAACCAACTTACCAAGAATCTCTTTAGAAGAGATAAGTGTAGTTACCAAAAAAACACACAGAAGGGGGGTTGAATGTGTGTGTGTGAGAACAAGGGAATTTTAAAAATCATTTTCACAAAGAGATTATTTTTCGTCTAAAAATAGTATTATCTAGAACATTCGAGAACTGTGCATGGTTGGCTTAATAAGAGATTCTCCGTCTGAAGGTTTATTGTCTGCACAAGGAAAAAAGTTTCTTAGAAGAAAAATGTTCTTTAAGATAATGAGTTGCACAAGTATATTTTTCGTTTGAAAATAGTTGTAGGTAAAAATAATTAGTAGACAAAATTTTCAATATGATATAATAGCTAAATAAAATTGCGTCTGAAAATAGATAAAGAGTGCAAATAGTTTTATACTGGTTTGCTCGACCTGAGTTACGTTTAGTCTCCTTAAATGGAAGGGTTCCACTAATCACAACGGATTACAAGTATTATCAACCATTTCTGGTTCGTCAACTTCACTTGTCGACGCTAGTATTCTTAAACCACTTCTGGTTCTCCGAGTATTCTCAACCACTCTTGGTTTGTCAACTTCACTCGTCTACGCTAGTTTTCTTAAACCACTTCTGGTTCACCGAGTATTTTCAACCACTTCTGGTTCTCTAAGTATTCTTTCACTAGCCTTTTCTAGCTTTACAAGCGATAGCTGTTTTGGATGTGTATGCGACTCTCACAAAGAGGATAGTATTATTCCTACACTCGATACAGTATTCAACCTTAGTTTTACAAGGATATATGTTTAGAGTGTGTATATTATTGAGATTTATGGAGTAGTGAATCAACTCAGATTTGGAGTATGAAAGTTTTGATGATAACAAAAGGTGGATTCTGAGAATCAAAGCTGACCAAGGACATCAACAAGTCAAAAACAAGTTAAGAAGAGGATATGACTATTATCATGTGTAATAGGATTAGTTTATAAGGTCTTATGAGTTGTATTGGTTTGATTTGCTCATTTTGCATGTGTGTGCTTTGTGCATGAGTTAATTTTAATCTAAAATTGACTGAGAGTGAGTATGATGATGATTTAAATACTTGGAAAGATTTTTTGAAGTATAAAATTGAGTTTTTGAAAACTAACTCAAAATAATCGATTATCATTAAATGTAATCGATTATTCCAGCAACAGGTGAAAAGAAGCCTTGCTGTAATAATCGATTATTTGTAAAATAATCGATTATTCCAGGAAGCACTCTCTGGAATAATCGATTATCCTGCAAAATAATCGATTATTCTGTTCTTGAGTGATTTCCAGAAATCATGAAGAACAAAATAATCAATTATCCTTTAAAATAATCGATTATCTGGTTTTGCAAATTTTATAAATAGCTTTCATATTTTGAAACTTCAGAACAGAGAATGAATTGAGAATCAAAAAGAGAAAAGCCATATTGTGTAGTCTTTGTGACCTTCTTGGAGTGTTTTCTTTGTGAAACCAAGAAGTAAAACATTTTGGAATGCTTTGAAAGAGATCATCATCATCATTACATTCTTGGGAGAGAAAGATTAAGATTTTCTTTTGGAATTCACAGTCTGATTTGTTCAGCTTCCAGGTGAATTTGTTCCTGTATTTCTTTGTGAAAAGTGTAAGGGAAATCTTGAGTAGGTGTCTCAAGTGGTAAGGAATTCTTGTAGTGGGTTTCTACAAGAAGTGCTTTCTTTGGGGCAAGAAAGTGGTTATCTTGAATGTAGGAGTATATGCATGTGTTGTATGCTTGTAAAACTTCTTCATTGAGACATTGGAACAAATCTTGATCAGGTTATGATTTAGGACTGGATGTAGGTCACATGTGGAGTGGCTGAACCAGGATAAAAGACTTGTGCATTCTTCTCTCTCACCGTTATCATTTACTTTGAGAAAAATCCTGGTTGAGTGTTAAAGTGAATAATCTTTATTAATATGTTTGTATGCACAACATTGCTTTAAACTGAATCAAAGTGTTGCATATTAAGTGTTCTTAACATTGAACTTTATTAAGATTAATCAAGAAAGCATATATGACTCATTCCCATTAGCAAGTCTTTCAAGGAACTTCTTTGAGAATTCATATTAGAAAAGTTTAAGTTGAAATAAAGATCCTTAGAACTCTGAAAAAATTTTAAGTGTCATAGAATCCAATTCACCCCCCCTCTTAGATTGAGCCATTCTTTTCTAACATATATAACTCTCGTAGAGAGGATATGGTAATTTCTACACTCACTAAGATAAGCTATCTTAGTTTTACACAGATATACAAGACTGTACGGGAAAAGATGTAAGATTGTTTTAACGTTTTGCTTCACTTTTTTTTTGTTTCTTCTCTTCGCAGGTCTTGATATTTATAGCTTTGTGATAAATCTGCTCGTTGTTTGAATTTAAATGTGTTCATTGGAGCGGGGCTTCCCGTTGGTGCAGATAGTAGTGCTTTCATGGCTATGTAGATCCTTCATTTAATACACTTGATCTTGCATTAAATGCTTGGTTGCCAAATCTGTGTTACGTGAAGTCTTTTGTGTAATTTGTTCACTTTTATGTCTGACTTCAATCATGACCTAGGAATATCTGTCCTTTTTCCATCATTCTAGCTGTAGAGGTGTTGTCTTTTTCTAAAAAGTAGGTGTACTTGCTCTGACACACGTAGCTTTGTCTCTTTCCTATTTTCCTTCTTTCTTTTGATGACTTCGTGTGCTCTTTTATGAGTGTAGATGATATATGTTTTCTTTCATTGTGAATAGTGGACTTCAGACGCTTTTCAATATTCTTCGTCTGCGTATGGAATTTGAGTTTTGGTATATTTTGACTTTTCTTTCGTCTGGTTTGACTTTTTCTTTTCGTCTAGTCAGTTTTGAAGATGGAAAACTTTAGTTCCATCTAGAATGATTCTTAGTCTTGTATTACCCATCGACTGATACTTTTGTTGACCTTTGACTTGTAGTGCGTTAAGGTTCATCCGACGTCTATACAGACTTCATCTGGTGCTTGACCAACTTTT